ACACTACTATCTCTAGAATATAGAAGACTAAAAGGCTGGATTGGAAAGTTTGGCTTTATACTAGAGAGAGTATAAAATCAATTACTATCAGGGAGCATCTTTCAATCAATTACTTTGTAGAGAGTTAATCATCAGTTACTATCTACGAATAATCATAATTCTCAGAAGATTTTCGTTCGCTTCAATTATAAAATAAATAAACTTACTTCAATTTCACAGTCGAGAAATAATAATAATAATAGTAATAATAATTTTGAAAGCTTTTGGAATGCCGTGTTGGTCGTCGTGAAAAGCAAATTTCTGACCGGGGGTGTCCAATTGCAGCAGGTGCTCCATTCCATTTTCAGTGTAATTAGCAAGAACGAAGAAAAGGCAAGGAAGGAAGGGAGGAGGGGAAGAACGAAGAAAGGAAGAAAGTAGGTGTAACTCCGGTGAATGAAAAGAAATTCGGGATTGGCTCTCTACGCGACGGAAATTCCGCGGACGTTTCTAGCCATCGAGTGACATCGAGGGGCATCATCGAGGACGTAGCCCTCGAGCTCGTTGTCGACCTCGTCATTGTATTCGACGTCGTACGCGTCGTAGTCGTCGGCATCTTCCTCGTCGTCACTCTCTTTGATGATCCCGAGCCTCTTCGCGACGTTCTTCACGTTGTTGATGACCTCCTCTTGCACCAGATTAAAGCTCATCGCCAGCAAAGCAATTCCAAATAACAAGTACAACGAGCAAACCGCGATCCCTTTGTGCGCGTCCAGCTTGTACGCCGGCACAAAATCGCCGAATCCTGCGAATCAATTCCTTTCTCTGTTTGTTTGTTTGTTTGTTTCTTTTTGTTTTTTTATCTCGCTTTGAACGAGTAAGTCAGAACTCTGACTGAAGAGTGAAGAATTAAAGAATTGATTGTTGACAATCTGAATGAGAAATTAAGGATTACACTGGCCAATGGTAGTAAAAAATTGAAAATAATTGAAAATCTGATGATTGAAAAATTAAGGCCCATACTGACCAGTGGTAGTGAAAAGTGAAAAGTGAAGAATTAAAGAATGATTGAAAATCTGATTGAAGGCCAAAATCAAAGACCATACTAACCAATAGTAATGAATATGTATAAAATGAAGGATTAAAGAATGATTGAAAAATTAAGGCCCATACTGACCAGTGGTAGTGAAAAGTGAAAAGTGAAGAATTAAAGAATGATTGAAAATCTGATTGAAGGCCAAAATCAAAGACCATACTAACCAATAGTAATGAATATGTATAAAATGAAGGATTAAAGAATGATTGAAAAATTAAGGCCCATACTGACCAATAACAATGAAAAGTGAAAAGTGAAAAATTAAAGAATGATTGAAAATCTAATTGAAGGCCAAAATTAAAGACCATACTGACCAATAGTAATGAATATGTGTAAAATGAAAGATTAAGGAATGATTGAAAATCTGACTGAAGGCCAAAATCAAAGACCATACTAACCAATAGTAGTGAAAAGTGTAAAGTCAAAGATTAAAAAATGATTGGAAAATGAAATGAAATTGCCATACTGACCAATGGCAGTGAAAAATTAATGAATGATTGAAAATCTGATTAATTGAAAAATTCAGGCCCATACTGACCAATAGTGGTGAGAGTAATGAAGCAGAAGTACGCGGAATCGAGGAACGGCCAGTGTTCCCAAGCGCTGAATAAGAAGGCGCCACCGAAAATATAGCTAACTACCAGGAAGACGCAAAGCCAGATCGGGACTGGTTTTATCGGCTGTCTCTCCTGATCGTCGTTCACGTAATACTCGTAATCCGAGTCAAAATCGTCCACGTATACTTGTCTGTGTAGAGGGAGCCCGGTTGAGGACGTCAGATCCGCTGGCAACGTGTCTCTCCTGTAGGATCGAGCTTTATCGAAAAAAA